TTCTCTCACTTTGTCTCACAGCTTAGAGAAACCCCTAGGGATCCGAGGTTTTATAGTTGATGAAAGCTGATACTAAGATTACCAGAATAGAGAGTGCGCAGAGACTTCCGGTGGGAGAGACATCACCGCACCTTGGCTGGGAGCGAGATCCCGGTGTGGTACAGCTTCTTATGTGGCTAGCGGAAGTCTCGCGCGCGCGTGAACAGGGCTCCAGGCCCCAAATGACGTGTGAGTGCTAGAGTTGTTTGGTATTGAAAATCTCTCTCTCTTGAAGTTGTTGCGCTTGACAAAGATTGCGTCGTGGTAGAAACCGCGATGCGCCTTGACGTAGCCGTGGCCGGTCTTGTGGGAGAAGGGTTTACAATGCTGACAAAGGACATCCAAACAAAAACAAAATCTCTCTCTCTCTCTCTCAATGCTGTCCCGACAGCTGTCAGCGCACAGCGGAGACAGCGCGACAGGCTCGGCGCTGTCAAACTCATCAAACGGTATATCGCTCGGAATACGCTGTTCCAGCCCCACCGGCGCCGTGCAATGACAAAAAGGTATCACGAGGCAGTGTGTCCAGGCACCAGGGCAGGGGCGGCGCGGGCGCCGCGGCGGCACGCCGCGCGGTCATTCTCATTGATACCTGCGAACCTCCGAAAATAACCAGGTTACTTACCTCCCGAGCGCCGAGCCCGAGGCGTTAACCTGCCTGCTTCCAACATCTAAGTTCCATGCTGTGCACCAAACCAATGCCAAAACGTGAAACGACCGCGCTCCGCGCAACACCGGAAACTAAGAAAGGCGCATCTCTAACTATTGGAGCAATATATTCAATATTTTACGCCTTCCTTACCGGAAACCAGGAGGGCGGCGACCTCGACCGACTATGGAGGACCCGTCGCCAGACGACGCAGGGCAGAAGACGGTGAGGCGGAGCAGACGCGCAGGGCGAGACGAGGGAGGGAGCAGGACTTTGCGGAGATCAGCAGGAGGATGTACGAAGAGATTAGGAGCAGCAGGGACCCGAGGGACCATGTGGAAGACGGCTAGTGCTAGTCCCCCGTCGGGAGGACGACCCCGGCTAGTCGCCGACCACACCCACAAAGAACCCTGCACAAAGATCGCAAGGGCGGGGGCCTGTTCCTTTTTACCCATCTCACAGTCGAGAGGTGTCCGTTTTTATTTATTTCTCTCTCATCTCTCTTCTCTTGTGTCTAGACCAACAGCATTCTCGAGAGAGACCCATCCAGGGGTGTTGTCATCTGTCATGTGAGAGATTTTCTCTCTCTTATGCGCGTTCGAGGTTCGTTACTTGCTTGTCTTTGTTCCTTTTTACCCATCTCACACTAGAGAGGTGTCCGTTTTATTTATTTTGCCCGTTTTATTTATTCCTGCGTCCACCCATACCGCGTTGGTGTCCCAGTCGTTGGTCGGACTGTGTTTCGCCTTCCCATCAATCAATCAATCAGTCCTTACAAGATCCTGCTCGCGCAGGTGGGGACCCTGTCCTTCTCCCACCCCTTGTTTGGTGTGTCCGTTTTATTCAACGCTGCTGCGAAAAGAATCACCTTGCCTTTGAAGCCGTCCGCCTTCAGCCACAGGTTAAACCTCACTTGGTGCTCCTTGTCGGAGGCGAAGTCCTTGCGGTGCGGCATCGTCACTACGGACACAGAGCCCGCCGGAGTCTCCCGGGCAATTTGTTCGGTGCCGCGCCAGCGGGCCTTCTTGATGAGCGAGTCGTGCTTCGCCGCCGTCGCCGCGATTCCCGTGCCGCCGCCACGGAAGGTGGCACGTGCTTTTGAGAAGCCCACTTTGCGGCCTTTGCCGCTTGCCCACCGCTTGGCTTCGTCGACGGGCGAGTGCCTTACCACACTCGCCTCGGCGTTACTCGAAGCTGCGAGCTCAGCTGCGGCCACAAGAGCGGCCTGCTTGGCACGCAGCTGCGTAATCGTCGGCCCGCGTGCGCGGCTCTTCACGGCCTGTGCCGGGGAGTTGGCGTTCACGCGCATCAATCATCATCGTCATGGCTGTGTGCGTGCTTCTCGCTCGTGCGTCCTTGGAAGTTGTGCGCCCTCCTCTCCTATGAGCTCGTATGCCACGTCGCCGCCTGTGTTTGGGTTTCTATGTTTGCGATTTGGAATTTGGTATTTGTCCAGCTCTTTGTTTATTTATTTATTACCGGAAACCGGGCGGACACCGGAAATGCGGAAAAACCGCAAACGCCACACGGTCCGCGCCTGCGGGCCGACCCTGCCACCCTCACAGCCCTCAAGCTCACATGATATGTCGTTTTCTTTACCGGCAACACACAAACAACGAGATCGTCACCTCTCCCAACTGCCGCTACCGATAGCCCAGCGCCAGCCGCAGCGCCGAGAACTGGTACCTCGAAAAGACGTGCCGCAGCTCCTCCCGTGACACCTCGCCGTCCGAGTCTAGGTCCATCGCGCCAAAGATGGCGTCGACCGTCACGTGGTAGTAGCCGCTCCCGTGCAGGTGCGCCTGCGATCCGGCACGCGCGGGCGGCAGTAAGAGTAACCGGTGGCTTGGCGCTTGTGGCAGCACCGGGCGGCCGCGCGCGCCCGCAGCTCATTGTACGAGATTCGGCCATCGGCGTCTGCGTCGAGCGCCTCGAACAGCTCGTCGGCCAGCGCGGAGCGGTCGGTCGGCTGGGGCGTGGCCGGCCTCGCGCGAGGCGAGCCGCTGGCCAGCCCCAGCGCCATCCGAATGCTCGCGCTCGCCGAGCGCGAGAAGGCATTGCGCAGCTCCGCAGACGAGATCTCGCCATCGGCATCCGCGTCGATCGCGGCAAAAATGCGCTCCGCCGCGGGGTTCCCGGCTTCGGCGAAGAGGTGCTCGGACAGCTCGTCGAGGGAGACAGAGCCGTCGCCGTTTGTGTCAATCGCACCAAAGATTGCGTCGGCTTCTGCGGCGACGGCGTCGGCGTCGGCGGCGTTGAGCGCCAGCATCAGATCGAGATCGATCACGGCGGGGTCGAGACAGCTGCTGGGATAGGATGCGTTGCCCGTCGGTGCGGGCTCGGGGGCAGGCTGCTCCGATGGAGGCGTCTCGTCGAGCACAAACCCCTCTGGCAGGCCCTTTTGCCAGCCTTTTGCGCTTGGGCGGCCCGCGCGGAGAGGGGACGGGGCGGTACAGGGGCGCACGGTGACCAGCGTGGTGTGCAGGCGCAGGGTGACCAGCGTGGTGTGCAGGATCAACAACATTTTGAGGATGTCGCACCAGTGCCGCGAAGCTTCAGCGTTTTCTTTTTCAGAGCGACACTCATCTTCTACATACAAACATACACTCATGCGCCAAGGCTCCATCGCGCGAGTCTCCGCGTGCCCGCCGCAGCCGTTTCATCTCGCCAACCAGCTCTAGCCCGGGGTGCGATGCACTAACCCGCGCCCGGCCCTAACCAACCCCTAGCCCAGCGCAAAGCCATGCTGACTGACGTAAATCCCCCAAGCCGCACGGGTTAGCGCCGGGGGTTAGCACCTATGATTAGCCGTACCTGTGAAGCCGTGAGTTTGGCAACCCGTCTTGAGCTCTTGACCCATCGACCCATGGCCATGCTGACCCGTGCCGGGTTAGTGAGCACTAAGCCACACTACGTCACTACCCCGCCCACGCTGATAGACTCACCCTGTAGCCTGAACGGATGTGGCATCTCGGTTTTTGCCAAATAGCATTTTGCCGAGAAAGAGCAACGAGAGAGATTTTTAGCAATACCAAACAACTCGATCTCTAACTCTCTGAGCAACAACGAACAAGATAACGGAAAGAATTTCACAACAACAACTCCATGCACCACAAACACAACTCTCTCTCTCTCCCAAACACAACTCTGGGCACGGGACTGGCGCGCGGTGGGAGAGAGAGATAAATAACAAACACATTGCAAAAATCTCTCTCTAAGTCTAACACAGGTATCTCGCGTCACGCGTCACTCACGCGAAAAACAAAACTCTCTCTCTCTCTCTCTCTCTCTCTCTCTCTCTCTCTCTCTCTCACTCACGCGTGACAGTGAGGCCTGGAGCCCTCGAGCTGGAGCCGTGGAGCCTCGAGCCTGGAGCATTGTGAGGAGCCCTCTGCTCTGAAGCACACACATATGACCCCCCCCAATGTGCAATGAACACACCAGCGAGGCCGAGGGAGGGCGAGACGATCGAGGGGTCCCGTACCATGCGGAATCGACCCTATCCAGTGCTCAAATGCTCAAGCACACACAAGGCACGCACAGACAGCGAGACAGGGCCCTGCCAGAGGTTGATCGGAGATAGATCTAAGATGCCGCCATTGTTGCGGGAGGCCCAAAAACCACAACCAACAAATCCTACCTGAAAAAGCAGAACCACGAGGCATGGGAGAACGGCACAAGCCGTCAAGGACAGGGATTTAAGGAAAGGAGGGTGGAAGCACAGTGTTGTGCTAGCCGTCTCTCCATATCTCTCGTCGCAGTCTCTCGCCCACTCGCACCTTAGCACCTTCATGCCACTCGTCGCTCTCATCCCGTTGTATCCTGGACCCTCGAGCTTGTCGTATGTCGAGCCATAATAACTAAAACGCGGACATGCCAAACGAGGGGTGGGATGGGAGGTCCCCACATGCAGAGAGAGATTTTTGAAAACCAACAAGAAATCACGGCGCTCACAGTGATTTGGGCTCGGCAGCTTGTCAGCCCTCAGCCGAAGCTGGGGCCGGTCCCGTAGCCGAGAGAGCCCGCGCCGACGAGTTCGACGCGGTCGGGGGGCCTTGCGGAGAGGCCAGCGAGATGGCGATCGCTGTACTTTCACATGCACGAGGATCTTGGAAGGACGATCAGGGAGGACACAGAGGAACGGGAGCGGGGGGAGCGCATCGCTACACAAAGGGGGGCTGGCCCACACGAAAGGGCCCCCTTGAAGTAAAGAAAGAAAGAAAGAAAACAGACAAAAGGGAGGGATGGGAGGACGTGCGGTCGCCTGGGGGTCCGTAGCCGGAAGCGAGAGCCTTGCCCAGCCACTCGAGCGCGCGCCACACCTTCTCGTGCCTGCGGGGCGGTTCCCAGAAGGCTCAGGGACGGCCCCCCACCAAAACGAGCGCCCGCAGCTCACACACGTCTCACGCCTTCTCGTGCCCGGCCGCTTTTCCCTCCTCGCATTTTTTGTTTCTTTTTTCGATCACGCCTTGAAAATTCTTTTTTCGACCTGCCCGCCTTCTTCGAGTGACAAACGATGCACTTAGTCTTTTCCCTCGTCCTCCCTCTCGCAACGGGGGCGGGGGCAGCGCGCCGCTACGGCTGCACGACGCGGTCCTCCCCCTTCTTCGACAGCCGCGCCCACTTCTCCGATTCGATCGCGTGCTCGGCGGTCGGCGCGGCGCGTGCGGAGCGCTTCGGGCAGGCTGGGGGGTCGGTGGCGCGGCGCCTGTCCCACAGCGAGTGCGTAGGGGTGCATGGCTGCATGGATCCCAAGGCGTTCAACTACGACTCGAGCGCCACTTGTCATGAAAATATCTGCGTGGACGAACGGCCGGGCTGCATGAACTCGACAGCGCTCAACTACAACCCCGAAGCGAATGTACATTGTCCTACAGCGATTGTCCTGGAGGGCTGCCCTTGCGAGCCGGTCCTGGATGGCTGCATGTCGCCCCTAGCGTCAAACTACAACTCAAACGCCAACCGGCAAGGGGTCCCGTGCGAGTTTGGCCGCCGCGGCTGCACTGACACGGCCTCCCCCGACTACGACTCGAATGCCGAGATCGACGACGGCTCTTGCACGGAGCATGTCCCCGGCTGCAAGGACGCAAGAGCGCCCAACTTCATGTGCGAGGGCGGCGGGGCTGGGGGATCCGAGGGGGCGTTGTCTCACTACTTTTGGCCGTCCCCTGTCGTAGGTGGAACGCGACCGTGGACGACGGCGCCTCTTCTCCGCCGCGTCCGGCCCATTCCCCCAGGGCCCCCAAAAGGCTCCCCCCCCCCCCCCCGGCGGACCCCCCTCCCCTTGTCGAAGGCTCCAACCTCACATGCCGCTACCTCCCGTACGGCTGCATGACAC